CATCCCTACCTTGGGGGTCTTTGAGAGAAGGCTGAATAGGTATCTGGTTGGGGTCATCTGACCCCAGTGCTCTTTCCTGCATAGGCAGGGGGTTGGACTCGATGATCTGTTGAGGTCCCTTCTGACCCTAACATCTATGAATCTATGAGCTTGAATACACAGGATGCTGTGAGCACTTTAATTATAGCAGCTCTTGGAGCCACTGTAAAACACCCCCCTCCTCCCATTCCCAGAGCATATGTAAAGATGCCCTGAGAGATCACCAGCTGTTGAAAAAATGTTGGTGTTTTAATAGTGACCAGGACCTGTGACTTCACAGAGAGAAGCCAATTTTAGTCGTTGTCAAAACGTAAAACTTTCTGACAAACACAGAAATCTTAAATTAGAATTGGGCACACTGTCTTTTTCATCAAACTCAGCTCTGTAACCAGCTACCTGTTAGAGTGCCTCCACTTATCTTGTCTTTAGTCATGAGAACTGAACAATGTTCCCCACATATTTATTTCTTGAGTTTGATGGGATGTGATCTTGTAACCTGTTGTTATCTATGAAGTACCAGAGAGTTACTGCGAAAATTGGGAATCTACTGCTTTGTGACTCTTTCATATATGGAATAGAGAGTAGTTGTAGGTCTCTGCGTATCACTTAGATAGAGAATGGGTTTGTTCCAGCTCAAGACAGGAACAGTGTACTATAAGAATCTGAATTATAAAATAGTTCTCTGTAAAAAAAGAGAGGGGAAAACCTTCTCCTCCACAGGACATCAAAGTGAGGGACTGGGGTCACAGGGTTTCTTGGCTGCCCTTTTAATCTACTGAAAAAAGGAAGTTTCACTGTGGAATGTCAGTGAGGAATAAGGTTGTTTCATCTCCCTAGGATCAGGGCCAGTTGGCAAATAATCATAAGCTATATTTACAATAGTCATTTTAATATTAATAAAGGTAGCATGCAAGTGCACTTTCTAGCTCAGCACTGCCAATTAAAGACTGATACTCCTACACATTCTTCTTTCACTCTGCTTTTTTGCAGTGCTTTCACCTATGCCATCTGTGATGTTTGTATTTCTTGGTGACCTTTTCAACAGTTTGTTGTTCTCATTCTTCTGTCCATATGAGAGAGATGGAATTCTCCAAGGGAAGCTACTTGAACATATGGCAAGGTACAATATTACAGTGTATAAACTGGCATTCGTTACTGCCTCTGCCTAGTGTTACAAGATTGACATAATTTGACTTTTTTTTTTCCAAGTTTCTGTGTTTGGAAAGATTTTATTATTATTTCTTAAGTATTATCTTGTGGGAGTATCCTCAGCTAGCATAAATCAGCACTACTGGCATTAATCGGAGTAGGCTCATTTACACTGGCTAAGGACCTAGCCTATTGCTTAAGTAGGGTGGGCTTTTCTGTATGAAAGGCACATAAAAAAGGCATCCCCTTCCCTGGGTTGTTTAGCAAGGTGGCAATCACTGTGAATTCCAGGGGAGATTGTTACTTGGATTCCTTTGTTCCCATTTTCTGTTTGGAAAGCATCGAGGTTGAGAAGTCATTTGGATGAGCACTTCCGGACATCAAAGAAAAAGTTTCTTTAAGAAAGTCTTGAATGAGGAAATTCTGAGGTCTGATGCTTGGAATTTGGTGATTTGCCCCGTACCTAGGGCATGATGGGAAAAGGCACATACCTGGGAGTATGAGAACACCACTTGTGGTGAGGTGCATATCAGTGAAAGAACAAAGAACAGGAATACAAGATGTACTCTTTTAAGTAGCAAAACTTAAGACCTAAGGGGTGTCTACCTGTGTGCTTTAATGCCCAGTAGCCTATTTTACTGCACATTAAAGTGTTGCGTAAAAAACCCATGCAATATGCTAGTGCACAGTAAAATAGGCTCATTAAGCATCGCTGAAAAAGTATGCACTTTCGCTAGTGTGCATTTGGACAGCCTAACATGCATTTATTTAATATCTCACACTGGAGGTACTAAATTTAATGTACATGAGGAAAAAAGTATGAATACACATGTAGGTAGACATGCTCAAGACATCACAGAGTTGTGTAGAACCTGCAGGTGAAAACGAGACATTCTCCTTGATAAGATGTGATAAGGGGACATAATAAAGGGACTGAAGAATGAAAGTGGTATTGGGTGAACTGATGGCACCATTTTAGTATCTGTTTTTTTGGCTGGATTAAGGGGATAGAATGTAATACAACATGGGTGATGACACACGGCTTCATCTTAACAGCTTTATTCCCAGTTATAGAGGCCACTATTAGAGGGAGGAGAATATTCATTCTCTGCGTTCACTGGATCCTCAAACTCCTTACTAAGGATGCTAATAAGGATGACAGTAGCTGGGAAATGAGAAGAGAATCTGTGACCTCTAGTCAGACTGAGATCGCTATTTCTCCTAAGATACAGCACACCTGGCTTGCAACAATATTGATTATCACAGAACTAGAAAGTGTTGCAGCTGAAATTGTGAAATTGAAAAAGCTCTGTTTCCCGTTGCCATTTCTTTGAGTAATCCATTTCCCCCAGTGCAAATCCTTATTTTCTTTTTTCCAGTGTGTGGTAGTTTAGGAAAGCTGACTTTAAGGATTAATCTTCACAAAGAAGTTGTTTTTCCTTGCTGCATTCAAAGCTGGTACATTTTTAATTGAGCACCATGAATAGCATATCTAATGAAGTAGCTAACTCTTAGATCAATGCAGCAGATGACCTGACCGGTTTATTATTCTTTCAAACATAAGACCCATATCAAATTTGATGAAGAAGAACAATAATGTAAGGGCAAGATCCTCAGCAGGTTTCAAATGGTTCATTATTGTAGACTTAAAAGGAGCTATACTAATGTACCTCATTTGAGGATCTAGCCTTTTAGTTCAGTAATTACAAATTCCAAATATTTACAGAAATCATGGGGAGCATGCACTGTCATCAAATATGTGCAGAAATAATTCTCCGATTTTTATTGTTTATTTATCCATGGCGTTGTCTCAGGGCACCGACTACAATCTGTGAAAACAAGATTGTTTCCCTCTGGAACTTCCTTGCATAAATATTTCAGTGACTAGATACATAAATTTACAAAAGTTTGGAGGTAAACAGAAGAGAAACAAATGTAAGACAGACCAATTTGTAAGCCAATAAATATTACATTGCCTTTACAAAACCAAGTTCCATAAAGGACGCAAAATTATCAAAGTGACTAGAAGAGTGTATTGGATATGGGGAGAAAGGAATGTGAAAGTCCTAAACCAGCTCGTAATTTAATTATTGATTTTTATTTTTTTTTGACAATGCCTGTCTTTTAGTAGCAAGCTGTCTGACATTTACTACTTGATATTTTATTATTTCTTTATTTTCTGCTTTATCCCTTTATCTCTGTCTCAGTGACAATTCACCTATGATGGAGACTGTGCTGACCCCTGCGAGTCCCATGTGGTGCATTTTTTTTTCTCCCTCATATGACGGGTCACTTGTGCTCTTTCCAAAATCACATTTCTAGAGCACTGCTTTGGAACTGTTCAATTCTCTTGAATAAAGTTTATTATTAAATACTAGACTGCCATGAAAATAATTCAATATGCATGACCTTAGTGTATTTGTGGTTAAATAGTAAGGGCTGGGGGTTAATCAAAAGAGCTGCAGCGAGCTGTTCACAAAACACTGCAAAAATCTTGGGCTCACTGATCTTTTCCCATTTGGCTTAAGATCAAGAAATAAACTAATAGGAAGGCAATATTTTGTTCTCACTCCTTCTCTAGCCATATCTGGACAGCTTCCATTGTTTCAGCCAAAGGTCAGGCAGGAGGGAGGGTCATGGGATCTGTAAAATGCACTTGATATAATAAAATGTAGTTGAATTTTTTCTCCTTGGTAACTTTTCCTTGGTCCCTTAGCTGAAACCTCCTTAGGCTTGTATGTATTGCTAGACAAGGAAGGAGAAGAGACCTAAATCAGCTTCCAATTCAGCGCAGCCACTTCTCAAGTGCTGTTGAGTGTCACAGCAAGACTGGGAAGGGAAGTGGCACTAAACTGCTCCTGAAAAGTCTCTGGGCTTATTAAGTATTACTTTAAAAAGTTGATTGGGAAGCTAATTTAGGGCTCCCCTGTCCAGCCTTTTAAGTATGATGAAAACCTTCAAGGAACCTTGCTGGCTGTAAGAGAGTCAGAGTGGCACTAAGAGCAGACGTGGAGAGGGAAGAGGGAAATAGAAAGTTATAAGCAAATATCCGTGCACTTCCCTTAAATGTAAATGAAGAATAGGAGAACACGGGGGCTGAATCAATCGCCCTCCTTAACCTTAATGTTTTTCTACCCTTTAAGCCTTATGGGCCTGATTCTCATGATCAAAGTCCCTTTACGTTCTGCTGGCAGTAAAAATGATGATCGCTCACGGTTGTTCTTTCTAAGCAATATAAAAGCTATGCATAAGAATCAGGTCCACTGGATATAAAGGATTCAGTTGGTGACAATAGGGTCTCATCAGTGTCCCACTGACCATTGATGCATGATTCTGATATCACCAAAAAGGTGACCTTTCAGAAGATAGCTTTGCAAGTCATGGTCTGTACTCCAATTTTCCCTAAAACAGTGTCTTCAAGCCTAAATGGTTTCCCAGAGCAAATTCCTTCCCTTTTAATGGAAAAGTAGTCTTTGTAAAATTTTTTTTTTTTTTGAGGAACTGTGTGGTAGACAAAACTCCTAATGAAGAGCTTCTCCCTTTGTTTAGACACTTGCTCTCTCGTATTTTACTGCACAGAGATGTCAGGCAGGACTCTTCAATTAAGGAAAAAGCTTTCCATTTTAACAACTGTTTTGTAGACCTTCTTGCTAATGCATTTTGTCTGCCTTTGTCTTCTAGTCTCCCATTTCTATTGTCTTCCTTTAAAATGACAACAGCCAGGGCTTTTTCATTAGAAAAAGAGCGAGAAGAAGAGCGCAGAGATCAGGCTCAGTTTAAGGGAAAGAATACGGCCTTGACTATTTAATTTTCAGCTTGCTAACGGTACTTGTTACACAAAAAGGTATTGTCCTTTAGCCATGAAAGATTTACTCATTGCAAAAATGTAGAGCAACTCCTCTGAAAACTGTCTCATTAACACTGATTGAAGTCAGTTTGAGTTTTTAATATTGGGTTAGGCTATAACCAGAGTTATATGCCGTTTGTCCTAAAATTCCAACTACCATGCCTTTTTAAAGTCCATACTTTCCCTCTCTGCCCCTCAAAACTCTTTCTGTTTATACAACTTTCCCTCTTTCCTGGTATTTCCTATATTCACACTGACTCCCCTTGGAGGCATCATTTAAAAAGCTTGCTACTGACCGAAAGTTAATTGTCAGTGATCTATAGTGTGATGTATATCTTTAAATTTAACCTCATGCTCTTTGCTCCTTTTTAACATTAGACACCACAAACCTAATGTGGGATTAAGTATGGATTTTTTTTCCCTCCATTCTGAAGTAAGGCGGATACTGTTAAACCCAAAAGCTGAACCATGTTAAATCAGGATTTGACATGAATAGTAAACATGTCGTGCAATCCCCAAGGGAAGCGACGAGAACAGAATTGCAGGTGACCCTTCCAAATAGCAGTCTCTGAGCTTTCCACAAATAAGGGGCTTTTTCATAATGAGACCACTGGGTAGTACACCCACTAGAGAAAGATCAGTGATTTAACTTGCTCTTTCGTGGTACAAAATTGTGCATCATCTTCTCAGTCAAAAGTCACATCTGTGGTGCTGTTGTTGTAGATAGGAAGTGAATTTGATTTGGTTTAATTCTCCAGCTAGAGATCCCTCTAAATTCATAGTACTACCGAACCAGCCAGAAATGAGAAAGAAAAGCCACTTTTATTATTAACGATAGACTGAAATGGATAAAAGCGGCATTATTCCTTCAATACTTCTAGTTAAACAGCTCAGCAAACTCTTTCGGATATGCAAAACAATCCCTTAACACTGAAAGAGTGACTTCCAGCTGAGACCAGCTTAGCATACACTTAACACCTGCTGACTTACCCGGAGGGAGGCTCCCTTTTGGCTCTTCAGGCACAGCGGCTGCCAGGACACCACCAGAATCCCTTTCTGAGTGTCAGCTGCTGCTGTGCGCAGAACAAACACGCAGCATGACCTCCCACCAAATGAGAACTCCA